CAAACTGAATTCATTCTATAAAGAAAAAAAGGGTAATTTAGGTTTATTTCAACTTTTTTTTTTTGTGGTTACGAGGTTGGTCGAAGTGACTGATCCCATTTTGACATAGGGTAAAGAAAATAATAGATAAACTATAATGCTTTACTGAAAAAAAACGTTTGAAATGCATTTAGGAGGTTTTAGGGATCACACAAAGAGAATTTGAGATTTTTGAGATGAGGAAGAGTATTTTTAATTTTAACATGAAAATTACTTTGCACATGGACTATTCAAAACAAATACTTAATATATTCATGGAAAAATCTTTATTTTATTTCATTAAATATACTTCACTAAAAAATATGATTTTTTGTTTGTGAAAGACTTGTAGTGTTAACTGAAAGATTGATAAATTTCGTGAAGATATACCCACTACATTGAGAGTTATAAGTATGAAATCTATAAAGATTTTAAACGAAAACAAAAAGGTCACATGGTCGGTCAAATTGACCGAGCTTGTATTGAGAGAGTTAATAGATGAGGCATGATGATTTGCATGAGAGACACACTGGAATGTACTAATCCCAACAAGGGGGGAGTGCAAGTCTTGTGGCATGCGTAAGGAAAATGTTTGCATGTAGAGGGCAGAACTGAATGAGAATAGCTAATCTTGTAAGCGGAGGTATGTACCATATCGGAAACTTTAATTCAGTATTGTCTACATCTTGGCTTTGATATTTCTGCATATTAATACAAGTTTTGAAAGAAACAACATTAAATGACCTCGTCAGAAGGTAAATCCGTTATACCTCATTGCATATCACTAACAATTATTTTCCTAGACTCCTCTATTTCTGAATTATTTGCTTTTCAAAGGATTTCTGAATTATCCAGTATATGAGTATATATATATATATATATACACTCACCTACGTACAAACATAATTTCTTTAAAGACTTAATAGTAGTCCATTTCATTTTTCTAACAGACAATTGTAAATCCTAAGTTGAATTGCTGCAGTTTGGCAGTCTTCTTCATTCCCTGAACAACAGAGATTTAAATCCAAATTTTAGAACCTATCTATATAATAAAATTAAGTGTCTCTGTGTGTCAAATAACTCCCTAAACTGCTGGTCACACTGACTTTTAAATGGTATCAAAGGAATTGTCTCAGTCTCAAGATTTGCACAATAAAAATTTTTCATCCTGCTGCTTGAGGAACCTGGGATTTCCCCAAAAACCCTTCTGGACTCACCAAAAGTTTAAATGGTGCCAAAGAATTATGTCAGCTCTAAGATTTGCACAAATATATAAAACTTTTCACCTTAACCCCTTAGGGAACCCTGGTATTTTGTGAAAACACTTTGACAGGGATTCCCCAAAAGCAGACCCCAAATTTGGCATTGATTTACATTAGATCACATAAATAAATAGGCCTACTAATTAATATTTGTAATTTGGTTAAAAAAATTAAACTTGCATTCCTGTAAGTGTGGGCCATAAGCCCATGGGTTTGCTAGTGTTCATGATAAAAACTAGCTACAACAGAGCATCACTGTACCTCTAACTCCTTCAAAGTGTCCTTAAGTTTCTCTGGTCTTTTGTTTCTTGGAATACATACGATATCTCGATCTGTAACAACAACAACCATCATTCTATCAAAGTAGGATAATGTTGTAAAAATATTCAGAACACTTGATCATAAAGAGAATATTACTGATCATCTGACCATTAGTAAATCGTTACTGATCACATGATCATTAGTAAAGTGTTACTAATGACTTGTTCATTAACAAAATGTTACTGATCACATGATCATTAGTAAAGTGTTACTAATGACTTGTTCATTAGCAAAGTGTTACTTATCATTTGATCATTAGCCAAATCTTACTGGCTGTTTGAAAGCTAATAGATTTTTCACTGGCCAAACCTTGTTAGTTTATGAAATTTTTAATACAAAACTATGCATGTGCTTTATTTTCTATATCTTAAACTACTCAATGTTTAGCGTTGTTTATGAGTGAAATAATATAAGAAAACCTGTATATCTATCTATCACATTGTACAAAATGAAATAATATAAAGAGATTAAAATTTAAACTGTGAAATATGCTGGGAGGGGGATAAGCAAGCATTCTTAAAAACCATATTTTGTTTGTTTTCCTTAAATATTCACGTTTTAAACGTCAGAGGTAAAATTACTCTTAACATTGTATGAATTATCCTATAGATACCATAAATAACTCTATCGCTATGTGAAGAATAAGTAACACTCATGTACCTAACCATATTTTTATAAACTATTCAATGGACATGAGAGGGCCAATCTGTACTTGCATTGCCACAAGTCACTAAGTTACACCATTGACAGAAAGTGGCAATCTTCTTCAACAAACATGAAGACCACCATGTCTCTGATGGTGAACTAGTCTCTTATATACAGTAAATACTTTATGTTTTTTAGCACAGTGAAATATTTCTTACCTTCACTCCATGTTTTATGGTCTTCTAAGTACGGATTTTCCAAGAAAGCATCTAGAATAAACTCATAATGTTACTAGCATTAGTTTTAAAACATATAATTAAAAAACTCATTACGTTTATATTTCTATCTGTTACATTGTCATAACTTTGTATTAGTTTTAAAATATATAATTAAAAAACTCATTACATTTATATTTCTATCTGTTACATTGTCATAACTTTGTATTAGTTTTAAAATATATAATTAAAAACTCATTACGTTTATATTTCTATCTGTAACATTGTCATAACTTTGTATTAGTTTTGAAATATATATAATTAAAAAACTCATTATGTTTATACTTCTATCTGTTACATTGTCATAACTTTGTATGTATTTCATTACACCTTTTCTGTCATCTGTTACACTACCATAACTTTTTATTCCACTGCATATATATTGTTGTCTGCTATACTGTTATAGCTTTGTTATATCTATACTGTTATCTGTTACAATATCATAATTTTTTATTTCATAACATTTATATTGTCATGTGTTACCTTGTCATAACTTAAAACAGATTTTCTCTCATTTTTGTTTAACAAATTATATTTAGTGTAAAATAAAAAAGTTTATACTTATTAGATTACATGATTGTTTTAATTTAAATATAGCGCAAGTGTTAAATTTAGTTATTTTTTGAAGCAATAGTTTATTGCAGGTTTATTTACATAACTGTGCAAATCATACTTTGTGTAGTTCAACTGTCATAAATTGGCAATTGTTGCATTATTGCATCATGTTATTAGAACATTCTAAGTTTGATTTAGTATTATTACATCCTAATATCTCATAGTGTGTGAAAAGTTCTAGGCTTCAGTTGGGCTATTTAAAAATATGCATCCAAAATGTAGTTAAAGGAAGATAAAGATAGATAGACAAATAAATCTAGATTGTATGATTGTGAGTTTAACCATAAGAGTGCACAGTGGCAATTTCTGAAGTGAAATAATCCCAGATTGTATTGCAACAACAGAGTACAGAAGAATAATTTGTCTTGTCAATTGTGTCCTAAAGTAACTGAACCAGACTGTATTGAGTTTGATGAAAAGAGACGATTATTTTAAGCTCTGAATACAACTGTGTAACAAACATTTACATACATATTTGACTTGTTTTAATATATTATTTTAAAACAAGTAGGCTGTGTGCTCTTCGTTTATTGTTGAAATTTATCACCAACAAATCACAGACACCTACTGCAAAGTATCTGGCCAAATATATAAAACCCTGACAATACTCCTACCCCCGTGACAAAACATGGACCAGTCAATATGACACGAGAGAAGTTATGATTAGGCAAACATTTATGATCAATTATATTCACTAAAAAATTTATAACATGGAAAAGAACAGTAATTATGATCAAATTTTGAATTTCTCTCACTTACCTCCTTCTCCTTTATCATACAACTTGGATACACCGGAATAAACATCTGAGAAGAAAAAGCAGTGCAAAACAAATTAATTATAAAATAAACAATAGTCTGAAAGGATTTAATAGTTAGAAGTAAACCTTTAATAACTATAGACACTGTTGTTTAAGACTCATAACATAGGTAAATTAATATGAAGAATTATAAAAGGACTTTTCTCTACATTAAAATACTGTGAGATTTCGACCCTCTTACCGGAGACTTCATCAGGCAATAATGCATTGTTGCCCAGTAAGTCCGTTTATAATTCTACATATAACTATATACACTGTTTGTACTTTTATAAAAAAATCAAGTTTTAACGTATAGTATAGACATTAGGAACTCAGAAAAAGTGAAATTCTAAGGACTGCATTCTTTAAGAAATTATGGTCTCGCTTTTATTAAGAGCAGTGTTTGGTCATGATTCATGAGCAAAATGAAGGCGACCAACAATTCACTATCCTCAAAATTCCTTCAGTTAAGCAGTGGGGACTCAGAAGAGTGATGTAAAATAACTTCATAAAATGCAAGATCAAATACACACATAAATCTTACATACGTAAAATGATTTATTACCATATAACCCATGTGTTAACTTGGTACACTGAGTACATATTATTCAGGATGATATTTGACTAACAAAAGTGTGAACAAGAAAAAATTGGCACAATCAGAAAATAAGTTTATAAAATTGGCACAAGTAAGTAAATCTCTACAAGTATTATCACTTCAAGCATCAAAAGTGGTAGAAAGCAAGATACATATTGGATCAGACTACTTGTGGTTCTGACCCTGAATCCATGAGTGAAAAATATTGCACGTCATTATGCTAGTGGAAACATTCGTTTGAAGTAGTGAACTTTGATGTGTAATATCTGAATAGATCAATAATTTAAGATATAGTCACTGTGCATAGATTATTCAGAATCTATTTCAACAAGTACAAGTCACAGGCTTTTTAAATCACAGATCAGAGTCACTGCTACGCCTGTGGTTGATCAACAGAATATGTGTACACAAGTCAGATTTTGATCTCTTTTTTTTTTTACTGCTAACAAGTCTATGAATGAACATTAGCACTGAAGTAAGCAAAGGCTGAAATTTTAATCAATAATCCACCAATCATGGGGCTATTATGCTCTGAACTATTTTTATTTCCCAGAAATCATGAATAAACTTTCACCTATGCAGCATGCACTGATAGCCTAGCAACAGAGATAACTTTTACTGACAGTGGGTTGAAGTTAACAGATATCAATGGCTTGGTAATTAAATTAATAAAAATACTTCAGACAGACAATTTGTATTGTTGATTTTCTTAAGCTTTCTTATAAGCACATTCACTCAGTTGCCAGTTAAAAGTCTAAGCTCTGTAAGAACCAAAATATTAACAGCATCCAAAATAAATAGATAGATAATTATGAAAATATAAACTGCTGGACATATTTTTAAAAAATGGCAGCTTTATGATTAATGACTGTGAAGAATTGCATATTTAAATGTCAGTTTTTTTAAAGTACAGTTAATATATGGTAATAAAAATGAAACAAGTTTTTTATGTTCTCAGATCATATTAACATGAACACAGATATACTTATCCATCTACAAACATTCCAAAAACCTCAATTTCAAGTTTATTTTTCTTTTACAATATTAAAATTGCAGCATTACAATTTGGATACTTGACAGCTTTGGAAAAGGTAACATTGGTACAACATAAAAAATATTTCATGTCAAAAGAAAATTACTTATTAAAATTTTTTTCAAAATTCAACAAAAAAAAAAGGTTTTAGGAGAATCATGTAAATAAATAACAACTGAGGTACTAAAATAAAATTTCACTACCTATATGATACTTTGATAACAGTTTGTTTTCTGCATATATTATGTTGAAACAAAATATACAGTTCTACTATACTTTACAGTAAAGCGATTAATGTTAATACTGCAATGTATGTTGAAATCATAACTGTTAAACCAGATGGAATATTTGTCCAGAAATAGCATTACAGTTAGGTGCTAAAACATTTCACTATGTATGTTAAAAACCTCATACATGTGTCAGTGGTGATTAAATTTTACAAAGAAAGAAAAGCTAATACTAAACTATCATTTTTAACAGGATTCCCATGCAGTAATTGTAAATACTAATGGATACTGATAAATAACAATATACAAAAATGTTATAAGGACTCCCTTGCAGC